AGTCACTCTCCTTAATTATTTGTTTCTGACATATCGTTCTCCCAGTACCAGATCCAGATGAATCAAATTCAGGCGATATGGAAGTTGATGGCGCTGTCCAGAAAGGTTCAACGGATTCGCAGAAGGACCCAATGACATCTCTGAATATCAATTGGATACATACGACGATGAGGAGGGAGGGGTTGGTACGCGTGAGCCCTTCCATCCACAACCAATAAAAGGTCCATTTTCCAATATGAAGTGGTTATTGTCTCACGATGGGACGACCCATATGTTACTTTAAAGGAGGTGGATTTCTAATTTTATCCTGCATAATAACCATAAAAAGGATGAGGCACAGGAGCGCGAGGAAGCGAGATATATCCTACCGATAACCTAATTGTTGTCGCCAAAGTAGAGGCCGACGTCGCGCAAATGGAAGTTTTTGTGTATGACGAATCGAAAGACAACCTATATGCCATCACGATTTCATGCTCCCCTCTTTCCCACTATGTATCGAATGGCTTGATTACCAGCCAAATGCCCCTCCACGTCCAAGACTGGTAATTTCATTGCTGTAGGAACATTCGAACCAGAGATTGAAATATGGTCGCTGGACACGATGGATGCCGTTTACCCGATGCCGTATTAGGGAAACTAGAAAAGACTCAGCAGCGCGGTCCAGTGGCGGCAAAGCCCAACAAGCGCAAAAAAGCAGGGAAATCAAACGACAGTTCCATATTGATTCAGTCCTCGGCTTATCTTGGAACAAGGCACATCGGAATCTCCTCGATCGGCTTCTGCGGATAAGACGGTTAAACTCTGGGACTTGTCCGGAGGATCCGGGAGTAGTGCCATCAGGTCATACAATATCCACCAGGATAAGGTTCAAACAGTACATTGGTGCCCTAACGAGTCAACTGTACTACTTACTGGAGGTCTTGATCACACACTCAGGATGTTTGATACCAGAGCTCCGACATCCGTGGTGGGTGTAAAATTGAACGAGGAGATTGAAGTTTTGCGGTGGGATCCATGGGATCCAAGTGGATTTTACGTGCGTTCGTGATGTTTCCGCTTCATATTCCTGATCTCCACCTGCCTATCAGGTAGCATTGAAGGATGGAAGCGTGCGGAATTTTGATGCACGCACACTGTCTGGAAAAATGGATTCCGCCCCTCGGTTCAATATTGCAGCACATCATGGATCTGCCCTTGGATTGGACGTCAATCCCCACCTAAGAGGTTGCATTGCCACGGGAGGACATGACGAGATCGTCAAAGTTTGGGACGTTAAAACCAATGCGACAACACAGGAGTTAGATGTCTCGATGGTTGCTTCCAAAGAGCTTGGTGTCGTGAGTGTTTCAAGAACACTGCCTACTTCGCCTCTAATGAGGTTGCTCTCATCTTAGGGAAAGGCATTCTCTGTAACTTGGTCACCAGACGATCCCCTTACCCTGGCCGCGGGGGTTCGACGGGAAAACTCCAGGTATGGGATGTAAGCACGTCGAAGGACGCGTTCAGGACCTTCAAGTCGAAGTTGTACGAAGCAGGAAAAGAAATCGAATTGAGGATAGGAAAAAGTGAAGTGATTGGAGTTGACGATGACGACGACGACGACGAGAACGATGATGATGCCGATCCAACGTCTGCATTCGGCATGTAAGACGAGTACATATACGGCAACTCATTTCGCCAGATCTTCATCTTCATACGACATCTGCACAACCCCATCCATAATTGAATACCCGGTTTTCCCTACGCAGCCCCCGGTATCCTAGGCAGCCTGATCCTTGATAATATAAGAATGGAGCGCGGTGTGTGAGTTGGAGTGCAAGCCTTTTTCAGCTGTTGTTATGACTCGTCACGTTTGACTCAAATACTTGTGGAGTTGATTCGCTCATGTATGGTGTGGAATGACGAGGCAGTCGTTAGCGGTGGTGCGTGGTAAATCACGACTGCGGTGTTAAGCTCGTCAGAACGCTCCCCCAGATTCGGGATGCATGAAGGTCGAACACAGACGTAAAAGGCGCGGATGAAAGAGGCAGTTGAGAGAGGAGGCCGAAGGGTAACGCCTGAGACTCCAGGAATTGAACCCGTACCTTATTGTGTCGCTACTATCCAGGCTGTCCAGTACTCATCCAAAGCTCATGTCAGAGCAATTAGCTTATATAGAGACACCAGGTAAATGTTTAGAGTGAAGGAAAAATTTGGAATATGATCTGCACTGCTCTAATACATGTCGGTTATCTGATACGCAGAGCATTGGTCGAGAAGGTTCGCCCAAAATTCACATGAAATCATCATCGTCAAAGTCATCCAAAGCTTCTTCGTATGCAGCAGTGTCAACCCTTCGAGGTTGCGTTGAGGACGGGTTGAATAGGGGGAGGTGTGGCACTCACTTGGACACGGACCTGGTGCCGGCGAGGGCTGGCTTTGAAGCTGTTTTTGTCTTTTTCTTTCCACTGGCTTTTTCTCTTTGCTCTTTCTGCTTTTCGTTAGCTAGAGCAGTTAACCCGCTGGCGGCTTTGCGGACATCCACGTCCCGTAACGACTGGGCCAGAGCTTTAACGTGCATCTCAACAAATACAGCATAAAGAGGCTTCTCTTGATGCTTCCTAATAAAAGCATCGAAAATCTTCTTTGAGTAAGCCTCAAAATCATCCTTCGTCTTTGGTGTGAAGGAAAGCAGTTCTTGGATTTCTGTTGGTAATGACTTGCCTGAACGACATTTTGTCAGCTATTGGAAGGAGACAGATAATGACTACGTACCGGAGACCGACGTTCCTGAAAGCAAGGCGCTGGCATTCGCAAGATCTGTTTCGAGCTGATGTTGTTTGTCTCTCCGTCTCTGCTCCGCTTCGTCGATTACACTCTCCCCTTCATCATCTTCTGCCAGTTGGCGAGCCCTCTCAGCTTCCTTCTCTGATATCTTAGCCTTCAGTGTCATTCTCTTTTTAGGAGGTGCAACAGGCGGAGGCAGTGGTGCCTCCTCTTCTTCGGACGAGGCTTCCCAATCATCCTTCGGTTGAAGGTTGGTAAGAGCAGTATCGCATCGATCAATACTCATGATACGAGATGCCCGAGACTTCGGGATCTTACCGCTACATCCTCATCTTCATCTTCGCCTTCAAATTTCCGACTTGGAGCCACAACGGGTAGAGGCTTGACTCGTCGTTCATCCCGGACTCTTCGTCATCTGCAAGTCACGATTTCAATGAGATCGGGGGATCATAAGTCCCCTCAGCCTTACCCCAGTTGTCCATACCGCCTCAAGCCCACCGATTAGTTCAAAGATGAAACGAAGTTCAAGTAAACCTTGGTAATAATAGGTTGAAATGTCTCACGTGATCTCCCTTGTTGATTCATTGAACTCACATGTCAAGCATCACAAGCTGAGACTTCAAAATTCGCGGAAGGAATGTCAAAGTATCTGTCCTACAAGAATGTCGCCTTCACGGCTTTGCTGCCACTCGTTGTCCGGAGCCACTGCCTCGGTTTCTTGGCACGAGCACCAGTGAGGGGCTCGACTCTTTTATCGCTCGTATGAAGGCGCACAACAGCGAAGAGTTTGACACTATTGATGTTACCCGCGTTCGTCACTCTACGTGACTCTTCCTACTAGAGACGGAACGCTTCGCTCTTCAAACTCGTCGTTTCAACCATGCTTTCCGGAAGCCGCTCGGCAACAAGTGGGGACTTGTTGGACCCAGGGCATAGCTTAATTTTGTTCCCTTCTCTCGTTCCTCTCAAGGATCTGAGTTACGACGGCACGGACCCACCTATAATTTGCCTTCTCCATACACCCGGCGGATGTGGGCAGGAGGAGAGTTCAACTTTCATGAGCCCAAGGGGTACCTAGGGCTCAAGATTGGTGATTTAGTGAAATGCGTGACGACAGTGCCTAGCATCGAAGTAAAAAAGGGCGGTGCGATGGTGTTCGTTGACCAGCTGAAGAAGCTTAGCACCGAACGAGGCTTAGCCATAACTGAGACAAGAACGCATGTCTTCTTGCCGCCTGTACGGACCCCTAGGCAGACAGTTGCGCCGTCGGAGAGCCCCGCAAATACATCGACTTCTCAGGGTAGCTTGGCCACTCCACTCTGATTAAGTGCTTGACTGAGACACCTCCCAGCATTCGAGTCGAGTCCTGATGTATCTTACACTTTCATCCCAACTGTGTCAATGTTATTCAGGTTCAGCGCTCTTACGTTCAATGCGCACATGATCCACCTTGATCCTGTATTCGCTCGGGAGGTCGATGGGCATCCAGGTATGCGTAATGTGCCTCCGCTGATGCCGTAGGCTTAGTTGTGTGAATTCTATTCTACTCTTCAGAACGTCTTGTACATGGACCATTAACATCTCTGCTCCTCCTGGAATTGGCTTCCCGACTGACACCGCCAGGCTTGGGAGGCCTTCCAGCAATAAAGCGATATGCCTACCGCGCAAAACATCCTATCTTCGTTGGACGGAATCTGACGCTTTGTGGGGCTTATTTGCCTCGGGAGGCTACCGGGGGCGCCATCACAGGGACGCAGTTGTGGGCACAAAACGAACAGGGGACCGTATGCATGACAGCGGAGGCAAGCTTCATCGTTGATGTGTGATACCCCTAAGAATGCATTCATCACGCGGGTGTAAGATCCCTTCCCTCTTGGAACGTCTTTTTCATGTTCGGATTGAGCTACCTGTGGAGCATCATTTAGCGAAGACCAACAGCGTTGAGTCATCGCTATTGGAGTAATGAGCATGCGACGCGTGGTATACAGTCGAATGACCGCTAATGGGACCAGGTAGTGGCATGATAAGCCTGGAAAGTAACTGCCACGAGCCGGTCATCAACCAGTTGTATGGGTGTCGCAATATCAGATGATGCCAAATCAGGCCCATAACTCTTATTGCAGGTCGGACCATGATTGCCGAGCGATAAGTGGAAGTGTTATCACGAAAATCGTGCGTGACGCCTCGGCGCTGCTTCCCTGAAATTATTCCACTATATCATAGCATCGCGGCTACTCAGCAGCCACCCGATATTCCTGGTTCCTTCGCTTCATTTGTTGACAGCCGGAATGCGCTGCTCTGGTAGAGTTAATTGCGGGAGTCGCATGCCATTCTTCTTCGGCCTCTTATCACCCCGCGTACTTTAACAAGGCTTTAAACTCAGACGTCATGAGTGTGATCATGGGCGGCAATTGAGAGCGTGTCACTGGTCGAGTGAGAGGCTCTTTGTTTGAGTATGTCGGCGCAGTAGGGGAAAGTAAGCGTAGACGTGAGTGAAATGGCGCCCCATTCGCGGAGAGTGAAGAGACAGCCGGGCGCGGCGTCGTATAACCCAACACTGGACGATTGAGGCTGCTCCAGGCAATAAGTTTGTTGGGGGGAAGAAGCAAAGATGCTATCATGTTATTACAAAGTGTCCTTGAGATCCAATAGTCACAATCGCATGACAAATCACCCGCGCCTCCAGTTAGCATAATAGCGGACGGTCCAAAAAACCTTGCTACCAAAGTCTCCGAAGTAAAGAGACTTGTGGATCTGGAGAAAAACGGGGAACGATGGATTCAGGAAATGACATCAAAGGGCCAAATCGTGCATTGGGACCGTCCAAATTGGGGTGCATCCTTTCAGGCGAATGAAGAATCGGTGCCCCATGTATTGGAATCCTTAAGGAATACGGACCAAAGTATTGTGGACTTACAAGAGAAGAAATCCTCAAAGTCCCTCCCAATAAAAAACTGCATATCCGCTTCAATAACATTAGAAAGAAGCTAACCACCGAAGGCCTTACCTGAGCATGTCCGAGACGAACTCAAGCGACGGGCATCCGTGAAGAAAACCGAAGCTCCTTATCTCTGATGATCTCTGATCCATCTTTTGACAGATTGTCATATGAAAACAAGAACTTGATGACAAGTCCGAAGAGTATATTGCTAAGGTGCGCTGTGAACCCAAGACAAGGATTGCGGAGCCATGCTCAAATAATTTGAGGTCAAGTGATGTCGGCGTCGCAGTAGCCGCCCCGGAATGATGAGACGCGTTGTTCATCATCTCCTTTACATATGGGCCCTTATCATTGAAAGAGGAGCCCATGTTCAGAGTCATGACACGCGTTGCGCGACAGTCGGCGCTATCAAAGGTGATGACAGTCGCCAGTGTGGGAGGGAGAATGCGTTACAGTGTGCCCGGAAGGAACTACTTAGTTATGCTTAGCATTTACCGATAGTCTGGGGGGTGTACACTTCGTCCACCCATAGGTCAGTGGGTGCTTCTTTGATTTTCGGAGCACAACAGCGTCGACAAGCGCGCACACCTAGTGAGAAACGTCGACTAGATACCGATCAGTCGACTGCAAGATCAAGGGAGGAAGTATTTGATGGGTTGCTGTAGCCAAGCCCGAGTGGTGGTGGTTCCAGTAGAGGCTAGTCACCTGCCTATGGTGGTGGAAGGCGAAGCCAGCTCGTCCGTTTATAATTATTTATATTCTTAAATAAACACCATAATTAATATTTGCTGCGTTATATTTTATTTTCCACCAATAATTCGCTTCAACCATGAGCTATATTTTTTGGCCTTTTGCGGTGCGTTAAAGTCGTTCTTCAAAATCTCATCATTTGCTTCATCCCTTAATTAAGTCTCCCATTCCCAAATAATTCATAAAACAAACCCGCAACAAGAAAGAGCTACGGGAATTATAAGATAACAAGTGTCTACACTTGGGGAATAACTGGGGAACGCCGCCTGAAGCGGCTACTCTTACCTCGCATGCATGTTCACTCTCAACGTTGCTATTGGCTGAGACGAAGCCCGAGATTCGCTCTCGCTCCGTAAACCCACCGCATACTCTGATTTTTACACTGCAGCCATGAGCGGAATAGAACTGTATGGGGCAGAGAAAGGACCCTGTGCATAGGACAATTGAGTTCGGGAGAAAAAAACATAGGCGGAGTAGCGGGAATTGAGCTCAACAAATTGACCGGAAAATATGTCCCACACTCCCCACACACATGAATATCAGGGTGGTAATGAAATTCCATAAATTGAAGTTTATCAGGGCTCTTTGGCTTCCGGCTCGTCGCGATCCATACGTCACGCGGGGGTATTGGAATTGAGGGGTGAATCAGGAAATATAAACGTCAGGATCTTGAACTTCCAGCGTGCTCCCTATCACAAACATGCCTCCCATCCAAATCGCCGCACCTCTCGCTGCAGCCTTCAACAATCAATCCCCTAACTTAAAGACCGCTTTGCGACTCACCGAAGCATTTTTCTCATACACACCCGAAAGTCTGAGGGCTACCTTCGATAAGGATGTTGCAGATGACTTCACCTGGATCCCACTCCCACAGTCATTGAAGGCACTGGGATGGAATCCATTGAGTAAGGAGGAATCCATTAAGGCGATCCCCTTTTTCTTCGAAAGGATAAAAGACTTGGAGGTGCACAACTCAGCCGATCGTGCCAGTGATAAGCGCTCACTGATTGCTATCGATTCGTGTGTAGATCACTATCACAGATCTGGTAGAGAACGAAAATACAGTGGTTTTCTATTTCAGCGTAGGGGTGCGTCTCTTGATTGTTTTTGCTGTGCTTTGACCATGCTGAAGAGAGTCTCGTGTAGTCTTCTGAAAGTGTGGTCAAGCTCCGCTTCGACGCCAATGGGAAAGTGGTGGAGGAAAAAGACTTCATCGACACCAAATGGGCGCATGAAACTTGGTCGTCCGCCCAGGAAGCTGCAACAGCCTAACTCACTGGAGGAAACAGTTAGCAAGATTGTTCCAAACAAGTTGTACAATACGATGCTTTGTCTGACTGATCCTACCGCATTGACTTGCTTTGACGGAGTGGTCATATCAGGATTGTCATGTTCTTCTTTCGAATCCACATGTTACTGTAATGTCAATGTTCTCGACTGTTGCAGAGCAAGTTCTTGGACAGTGGAAAATGTAAACGAACAGAGTTCCTCAAGTGCGAACCATAAGAGGAAGAGAGGACGTGGGAAAGCGAAAATGACAGAGCGCGGGGGCGTTGGAAATTCGAAGGTGCCTGACGTGGCACCGTCTACTAGTGACTTAAAGGAGGAAGCCTTATTCCTCTTTGTTCAATGATCGCGCTACGGTCGTTTGGCCTCAGTTTGTTGCGACTCAGACTAACGTACAAACTCTTGTGTTCTTCGTGTCGTAGCTACAGTTATCGAGTTCTCTGACGCGAGACTGAGATACAGGTCATAGTTGGGGCCCGTTAACCATGCATGGGCCGAAGAGTCAGAGCTAGAGCCGGTGTTGATGCGTCTCGCATTGGTCTTTACGACCTGCTTTCCAGCATTCTGAGCTGCAGCTATGCGACATTATGACGTGGCTCCTGGGTTGAGGAATATATAATTTCTAACTGGAAGCGCCTCCTTGATATTAGTTCGAGCACGTGATGTTGAATACGGTGCTGGCTGCAGGCCGATCTAACCCAATGTTGTGGGTGGAGGACTGTTCCAGAAGACCTGGATCGATCAATTCACCGGATATTGGTCTGTTATTCATACGGTGATGGGGCTACTGGGTAAAGGATGCAACCCCTGGATATTTCTGTGAGTGAGATCATTCATTTTTTTAATTTTGGGGACATCGCATGCATGTCTCATACCCTCCCACTACCATCTGGTCCGTGTGCTTCTGATCCCTCGTTCCTGTGTGGCTGAGCTGAGAGACATCATTCATTGATGTAGTGTGAGCTTGATGGGGGACGAGATAGTCTCGACTTGAGCGCTGGTATGAAGCTTTTAAAGGACATTTGGTAGGGCTCGGTAGTTTGGTTATGTAGGGATACTCGGACAGCTGTAACACGAAGTTTGCGTAATGTCAATGTGACCGAATTTGGACAATTACAAACGCGCGTCAGAAAATAGGGCCCTCTACGAAGGAGGTGATCGGGTCTCTTTCGGGCGCCGGTCTTCGGTTGATTGTCGGCGCATTCCTTGTCCCTTATCCCCCCGCAGTGTCCCCTGGGTCGCACAATTGCCTTACACAGCTTACTTAATTTACTTATTATTCCGATGATGTGCGGGCATTTGACCCGAAATCACTACATAGTTATATTCCTCGCTCTTATCTTACATCTCTGCTACGTGTGATCCGCTAGGAGAGTTTCCATATTTGGAACGCAGGTACAACATACTTAACGTGCGTTATATCGGCAATTATGACATGGTGATATTGTCGTTCCTGGTCCTCATCGTGCTGTAGTCACATAAAGGCGCGGTGCTTTTACGATTTTGGACGCCCCCGAATTCTGGGAGGCCCTTCTGTTTTGTCTGCTCATTGCTATAGTCAGTGCGTACAGAGTCAGTGCATACAGTGATCGTTCTAATAGCACCCCTCGATCCCATTGACCCTGTCGCCCTCCCGACTTTCTAGCATTCCTCTGAAAATGTCCAATCGTATCCTGGAGAGCCGCGTCAAGGCGAAGCTAAAGTCAAGAGAACAGCGAGGGCTCCTCCGACACCTCGATGCGACTCCCGCTTTGCACAAGGTGCAATCGGACAGTGGAATCGAGCGTTTTGGGAACGCAGACTTCAGCTCGAATGACTACCTAAGCCTGGCATCCAGCGATGTGCTGCGGGAAAGGTTCCTAGACGCCCTGAAACAATACCCTTCTTCACAGAACGGCTCAACCATGGGCATCCTTGGTTCGGGTGGCTCAAGGTTGCTAGCTGGAAATTCTTCAATGCATGTCGCTCTTGAGGGGTGCCTCGAAGAATTCTTTAATGCACCATCTGCACTGGTTTTCAATTCGGGATACGATGCTAATGTTGGACTTTTTTCAACCGTTCCTCAAGCTGGAGACGTCATCATATACGATTCTCTCATCCACGCATCAGTCCATGATGGAATGAGGGCATCCCGGGTTCATCCTTCCATGCGTAGAAAGTTCAAACACAACTCGGTCTCTGATCTTCGGTCACAAATTGAGGATATCTTCAGAACATACCCAAGCATTCGGGAAGGAAAAGCATGTCTGTTCATTGCCGTCGAATCTCTTTACTCCATGGATGGTGACTTCGCGCCACTTCATGAAATTGTGACTCTTGCGGAGGAACAATTCCCTTTTCAGAATGCACATGTCATTGTTGACGAAGCCCATGCCACTGGGATATATGGAAAAAATGGGAGAGGGTTAGTTTCTTTGCTGCAATTGGAACATCGAGTACTCGTCCGATTGCACACGTTTGGAAAAGCTTTGGCAACTGGGGGGGGTGCGTCGTGTCTTGGTATCCCTTTCTTACACAATTGCTGATTCCAAGGTGCAGCCGTTATCCTGACTACTCCCTGGATTCGTGAACATCTAATCAACTATGCACGATCCTTTATTTATACCACATCATTGCCTATCTGTAACATCATCGCGATTCAATGTGTTATCGACATGCTGAGAGAAGGTGCTGTTCAAAATGTGAGTACCGGCATCGAGTCCCCTGCCACGCCTGATCCGATTTGGTCCCCTTTTCAGCAAACCGACCATCTGCTTCACCTTTCATCGTATTTTCTCCAAACGTTGCGTAGTCGTCTTGAATCCACCCCTAATTCGGAATCTGTTATCGTCCTGCCCGATCAGACGCACACTCGCAATGGCCAAATATATTCTCCAGGTCAACCTTCCGGCATGGTCACTGCCTCCTTGGTGTCGCCGATCATACCGTTGATCACGCCAAATCCCCGGCACACGCCTAACGCTCTGGCCCGATTTTTGCAAACCGGAGAAATGGATCCCTCCGCCACGCCCTTGTTTCATCAGGTTGGTACTTTGGATTACACGCCACAACGTCGATATCTCGCACGTCATATCACACCACCGACTGTTCCTCGTTCTGCTTCTCGAGTACGAATATGCATGCATGCGGGAAATACGGAGGATGAGGTGGATGGTTTGGTAGAGGCGATCGTACATTGGGTCAATTCAGCTTTCCCACAAGGACTGTCACATGGAGTAAGCGGAGAACCATCAATGTCAGAAGGCCAGCTCGTGGCCAGGCCGAAGTTGTAGTTCGTTGAAGAAGCCTTTACCCAGTTGTTCAGGAGTCCAATCACAGTCCGTGGAATGATTAATTATTGGAAAGATAGTGTGCATTGCGAAGTGTATGGTACTTAGGTATTAGAGTCATTTATCCGTATGTGGGAAAGGATACACGAAAATGACGTGCTGAGATGGTCCAGGGGAGATGCACGAAAACCAGTATGACTGCTGTATTCTAGCTGATGGGCTATCTCTTCTCTTCGGATAAGCCCAAGTTCCTCTTCGCCTAGAGTCGTTTTGTTACTTAGCACATATCTTGGATTTCGGTAAAATTATAGCGCACGTACTTCCAGTACAATACTATCACTCAGGGCAGCGTTGCTTTCACGCCCGTCTCCTTCGATCGTCCACCGAACGGGCATATCCGACACATAAGGACAAAGATCATCTGGAAGAAAACCGCCGTGATCGGCTATAAATCGCTCACGGGCCAAGAGTTCTTCTGCGGGAAGAGTTTGCACGGTGGATGTCGATGCACAAATACTAGGATCATGCCTTACCATCTCGTAATGCACCCAACTCCATGGTCCAACGCTCGATCATTGCATGGACACCGTCCCTATATCGTTTTCTTCGGTCCATCTCCACTATCAACTGGTCATAGGCGAGCTGATAGGAATGATAGGTTTCCTCAAGTTCTGCGAGAGCCGTGTGATGCGATTGAAGGGAGTTGCTAATTTGAGACACTCTTGACTACCATTCGACGCAAGATTCAATGGTTGTATACAACTTGTGAGGATATTGAATACCTCGACAATGTAGTGCTCTTCCAGCATATCATCCATGGTAGACTCTAATCCTTCGAGCTGCGAGAGAATATCGTGATGAATTTCTATGCCTGCAAGTGCAGTATCCCGATATGCGATGACATGGTTGCTGTACAGAAGGGAATGCGATTCAATATCACAATGTTCACATTGCACCAGACCGGGACAACCACTGCTTACTTGATGGACTCAATTGATTGCACGGATCGTTCAAGGTCTTCGATAATGGAAGGTAACTCTTGCGTATCCTTCACTAACACTGATGTGGCAAAGGAATCAGACCAATCGAGCCAAAGCGTACAACAGGCCCAGCCCACCCTCAATGTCACCTGGTGAAAGAAGGTTCCCCGATTCGTGATCATGAAGCGCCTGAGACATCTGTTCAAAGTGCGCAGCTAGGCTTTCCAAGTGCGCGGCCATTTCTGAAGCAGTTTCCTCTTGCTCGGAGAGAAGCTGGTATAGCGATTGGGGGGCAGAGATCGAGGGAAGGAAATTTCGGATGTCTGCAATATACTTGTTAAGTGTAGGGGCATGGGCGGCAGTTGATCCCAGAACATCCTTCCGCGATTCAGGCCATTTTTCCTTTCGACCAGGAAGCAAATACATACATCTAGGTTACTTCTTTCCTCTTCAATCCCGTCAAGTGTGAGATCAATACCCTTCTCGTCGACAAAGTCTCGAAGACTCTTCCATTTGGATTTTGGATCTTGAGAGGACGGGTCCTGGGCGAGATCAGTTCTGAGTATGGTTGGCTCCGATAGCGAGTGCTGACTTCCGAACAGAGATGAACCAGACGACATTTGGTGTAATGACGGAGGAACCAGCTGAGTACCAAGCGACTCAAGGACAGCATCTAGGGCTTGGTTTCGCTGGGTCCTCTGCGTATCCCAAAGCTAGCGACAACAGCGTGATTATTTAGTGTGTTATGACACTATGGAAGAACTGAATGTGGAAATACAAACTCTGGCTTCATCCAATAATTTTGTCCTCTGGGCGCCTAAACTTTTAGCCACACTAGCAGCAAGCTAAGTGGCTACACTATCAGTTTATAGCACCAAAGTTAACGGGGGCGCTTGTGATTACCGATAATTGGTCGAGGACGCCCTGGTTTAACCATTTGATCTTGGCCTCAACCCCAAGCGCATCCACTAAGATGTTCGCATTCGAGCCGGAGAGCTCTTTCGCACGAGAACACAGAGCTTGCCCATCAGCAAGGGCTTTCTTAGATAACTGGAAATGACGGGGTATAGTGGATTCCTGATATAACTCCGGCATCGCTGCTGTGCACACGTGATGATGGCGTCAAATTTTCCCACGCACCGATCATGCCTCGCTTGATACGAGTCTTACCACTGGTAGTGGTATGCGCGCTACTGGTCTATGTCTTACTGCCTGGCCCCGAGTCGCTCCCAAAGGGGAAACCAGAGACAGGGGGGGAGGTTCCTACCTTCTTTCGTAGGGTTGTGGCAGTTGGTGACTTACACGGCGACTTGCCCAACGCGTTGAAGGTGCTGAAAATGAACAACGTGATTGATGACAACCACCAGTGGACAGGGGAGGTTGATTTCCTTGTTCAGACGGGTGACATAATTGACAGGTTCGTCCATTCGATTCTGAGTGCTGCACGCTTCCGATTGAAGAATCTGAGCACTCAGGGGTGACGATACAATTCTACTTTACCAGTTCATGGAGGATCTCCGGAATCAGGCCCGTTCTTTTGGAGGGGATGTTCTTAGTCATCTTGGAAATCATGAAATCATGAACTCAATAGGTATCTCATTCTCATCCTGGCACCTCGCACTACTTAGGACTATACAGGCGACTGGAGGTACTTGAGAAAAAAATACGCCATATTGGTAATTGCACTAAACTCTGTCATGCCAGATATGTTTGGGGATCAGAAATCAAGACGTTTGGTTCTGTCGCAGAGCGTCAGCGGATTATCAGCACGGGTTGGATAGGCGCTGCGTGGCGAACAAACTACACAATTACTTCTCGGCTTCCATTACATCCTAGCCTTGGTCCTCCTAACACAGACTACACCCCAAGCGGGTCGCCGCTATCTCATGCTGCGTTGTCGTTCGTTCATGGTGGGATTTCCCCAACTTTCATGCAAGCAACGCCTTATCCCTCTCGGATTAACAACCTTGGCTCTTCTCTCCTTTCCAAGCTCCAGAGAAGGAAGCAGCCCCCGCCACATCCTCCAAACCCCTACCCCGGCCTCCCCACTGATGCCAGCAAGGACGAGCATGAACTTTATGGGTCGAACGGCCCACTTTGGTACCGCGGATGGGCGCTGGAGGATGAAAGGAAAGTTTGCAAAGACATCGACGCAGTGTTAGATAAGACAGGGACCCGACACTTGATCATGGGCCACACGCCAACCTTCGACCGACAGGTATCCAGATGCAAGGGAAAAATCATCATTATAGACACGTAAGCCTTACTATCGCTGATGCTTCATACGGGCCAATATTTGTCTTTAGTGGTATAAGTCATGCATACGGAGGCGTGCTAAGCGCGCTGCGAATCGAATATACTCTCACCCCAGTGAAGTCTAGAGAGTACAACATCTTTGGGCGAAGGATCAGATTGTCAGTCGGTGGGGAACGGACGTACCTGGAGAGGGAAGTCATTAACGCTGTATACCCTCACAAGACGGAGCAGTTTGTAGTCCAAGAACGCGAAGTCGCGGGCGATTTCGCGTAATTCCATTACTACAGATGGGATCGGCGTCATTTGTTTTTCTGTGGGTCTATTTGTCCATCTAATAATATTACGAAGTCATAGAGGCTGGGGTCCTGCCTGGGCATGGGAGTTCCCACGATATTCCAAATAAACCAGGTGATCGTGCCGCATTTTTGCTGAAGCGCCGAGCGTTCCATATATCCTCGTCCCTCGGTGTGAAATGTTAAGGGCATCGGTGCCTGCCTTACGCGCCACTCGGTGCAGCAGTACTAGCTTGTTGTCGTCCAGTCGATCCTTATTTCAGTCCAGAATCCAGACATCCATTCTCACAGTATCAAGAATGACTCGTTCCTTTGCCAGCGCCACTGGCGCAAAGGTGTCGGGACAGAAAACTAATACGAAACCGAAGCCGAATCAGTCTTCAACGTCTTTGAAGCGTACTGCCTCCGCATCACTGCCCATACGAGAGAATCCAAACCCAACGAGAGGGTGCATTCACCCAGTTCTTGCCTTCGCAACTGCCGAGAGGTTTAACCTCGGAGAGTTGTTTAAAGCACTGACACCATCTGCCAAACGGTTTGAGGACGCCATATGGGTGCCTACAAATGAACCTGGCGGCTCTCAAGGTGAAGTTTGGATTTTTGGTAATGGCGCAATCGTCTGCTGGGGACTGGACGAGGAATCTGCACGTACTTTCGCACAACATATTACCCTTCGAACACCTCATGCTATTATCTTGCCGCTGCGTGAGTTTGAGACTGAAGAACTAGAATTTGTTACCGACCCCGCAGAGTGAGTTGTTGGCTGTGATCCATCCCTAAGTGCTGTCCCAGCACTAAGGTGCTACCATCCCTTAGGCGAACACGATTACAAGGCGATCTCATTATACTTGGACAAGTCCCGCCATATGCCGGTCTATCCGAAATACCGTCCCATCCGGATTCCACCGCAGAATCTTCGTATCCAACTCGCACCTTCCCAGCACGCTACGCTTTTTCTCAAGCACTTGCACGATCGACAGCACTAGCAGCGTTCGAGTCACGTCTGGATGCTTTCATCTCATCTGTCGAGCGACTTCCCCAGACTTTATCCGAAACTGGTGTTCCCGGTTTAAAGCGCAAGGAAATCATTCGGAAATTGGGTGAACTGTTGAAGTTCAGACAAGGTCTAAATTTAAGCCGACAGAATTTTGGTGATACCCCAGATTTTTATTGGGCAGAACCCGTGCTCGAAGGTCGGCAGATTTTAATATTTCGATCTGTATTAATGGCTGAAAGGCGGTCAGAGTATTTCAATTCCATGAGTAAGGCGTTAGATATTCACGAACGCGTAAATGCTCTAAACCAGAAGATTACATATGCGGCCGAGGTAAACATCTCCCAATTCATTTCATCGTCCTTTACCTTATGATTTTCTCCAGGTCCAAGTGACCTTGCGTGAATTACTCACCGAGGTGCTCCGTCTTTTTCTCTTCCGAGAATTCCTTACTCTGTACTAATCCAGCTCATCTGTGCCAGTCCTCGACGCATCGGATGGAACTTATCATCATCGCTCTCATTGCTGTGGAAGCAGCAATCGTACGTCTATGCTTCGGTTCGGCTCCCGCTAATCATATCCCTGAGAAACACATCTTTAGGCAATAATCCGCGATGGGCCAGAGCTGTGGCACATCTTTTTCCCTCCCGAAGAACGCAGCACCCTTGAACCATCCGTCTCGACACTACCTCCCACTCAGTAATCATGATACCATACAGTACCACCCTCCGAATGACACATATCAAGACCTTATACAAGCATTCCCCATTACTACCTGTAGCACAACAGAACATGGAAAAGCATGAAAGTAGAAGATGAACAGCAGGCAGAATATCCTCAGCAAATGACAAGTTTCCAACACCATTGTCTACAGCTTTGCCTTGGGCTTCCTCAAGCTATCCATCTTGCCAATGATCTCTTCGGCCTCTCTCACCATCCTGTCCAATAGTTCTTTACACGGAGGTATGTCGTTTATCAACCCAACTGCTATGCCAGCAGTCCAAATCCCTGCATCAACATCTCCCTCCGTGTAAACCTTCCTTCCACGTTCACCTTTAACGAGCTCTCTTAGATCCTCAAAATTGGCTCCGCCAGGTCGTCGTTCCAGCCGTACAACCTCTTTGGCAACAGCATTCTTATAAACGCGTGCAGTATTACCGAGAGTGCGGAAGATGTGAATTGTATCTCGTTCGGTGGACTTGACCAGCACTTCTTTGATGTTCTGGTGAATGGGTGCCTCAACGGTTGCTAAGAAACGGGTGCCCAGGTTGACACCTGTTCCATTCACAAGTGCCAAGATTAAATAAACTTAGAAATTGAGTGCTCCACAATTGCTTACCGTCTGCGCCTAAGGCGAGAGCCGCTGCTAAACCCCGTCCATCTGCAAACCCGCCTGACGCGATGTAGGGAACATTCAACTCTTGAGCTGCACGGGCAAGCTTTTATGATAGCATGTGCAGTCTTGTCAGTAATCCGTCAGTCCATGACAGAAAGGTTTACCAATACGACGCCCCCGATGTCCTCTTCTCCAGGATGTCCTGCACCTGGATGGGGATCCCCAAGAAATTCGCATCATGATCGGTCAAAGGGTACAAAAAACCCCGTCAAACAACTCACATTCAAACCCGTCAATGGACAAAACGTCCACGCCCATCTTAATGGCGGACTTGGCATGTCGGATAGTGGTGCACTTGTGCAACACGATCGCTGCATTTTGTTTGAGATATTTGATCACCGGTCCCGGATTGTTACCAGCAGTTTCAAATATCCTTACATCTAAAACCGTAGTAAGAGGAACACTATCAGAATTGAGCTCTTAGGAGCGAAGAACGTTCACTAACCTTCCTCAATTGCGGCGCGTACAAACGCACCATAATCAGGAGGATTGATGGCGGGGAGAAAGGTAATGTTGACACCGAAGGGTTTATCCGTAAGTCTACGTGTTTCTTTGATCGTTTCACGAAGGGCTTCGGGGTTTGGCTGGGAAACTGTAACGACGCGAGCACAATTTTATTTATTATGATCAGGTACAACGTGGATGTTGTTAGCTCAGGTAAATGCGGATGTGACAGACAGGGGCCGGACGAAAAATCGAACTTCGCGTGGATATGGTAAGGGATACGTACATGCAGTGAGGATCCCCAACCCTCCAGCATTCGATACCGCAGCAACCATCTGTGGTACCCCAACCTTTTCATGCGTTAGATATAGTATTGCAACGCAAGTGCGACCCTAAACATACCCACTGCATGCCCCCTTGAACGACAGGTCTAACGCCGCATCAAACTTTAGCCGACGCATTTTGAAAGACAAACTACGATTGCACTCACACAGAAATGCCAAGCATCTCGGTCAATCTCGTATGTAGTACCATGTTGCAATGTTGCAACCGCTCCAGTCTCTAAGATATATCGGGTGAAGAGTCAAAGGAAAGGGGGGAGGAAGGAGCAATTGTACATGGCAGCAAGCATGAGGCATTATATACTGCGTTTTTGAGGGAATCTGTCAATTTCCAAGTGAATGGGGTATCAATATGTTTGTCAGAAATCAGCTCGAAAATGATCAAATTTCGGGGATTTTTTATTTTTCAATACAGTTGAGATTGTATTACAATCCGAAATTTGAAAGCTGATTTCTGACAAACATATTGATACCCCATTCACTTGGAAATTGACAGATTCCCTCAAAAATGCAGACCGGGGGTTCTCTCCCGTGATGTGATGACCTTTCTCATGATCACAATTCCGGCATTTTGTCACATAACAGAGCAGTTCACGAAAAATCCTCCTCTACTGTAGGATTTTTGTGAATAGGATTTTCTCAGTTATCGTGTCATTTCACATCTGGCTTGGCAGTGGCTGAAAGGAGCGGGATTTTAATCACGTCATTTCATGGAGGGTGCCAGATGCTCTAGAGCAAGATTTCGTCTTACACAGACTCAGACACATCATACCATGAGCACTAGAGCCAAATATGATTTGCGTTCAGTATCTACACCTGTGCCAAGCTCTCAGATGTACGGAAATAATTGATTCCACCTAAGCGTGCATCTGCAGAGCTGAGCAAGTTGCTCCTTGTCAAAGGTCGGTCAACTTGCTGAACTGCATCTGCAGTTAGCGAGCCATCTGTAAAGATGGTGAAAAGGTCCAATCAATTATCACCCATCAAGGATCTGTGGTACCAGTTTGGATGACTGCGCAGATTGCAGCCAAGTCTATGGCTTCGATGTATGGCATCATTGTCTTGAAATAAGTCGGCACGGGTGTGGCATCATGTCACAAGTAGTCAAGATGCCTAAAAGAACAGTTTCAGGCATGATAGTTGTGGTCGATGTGGGGAGCGTGTTTATGACGATTATTTGTTTTTGTTTTCTGCCAGATTTGGACTTAGCCTTTCTCTCCCTCTCGGCATGCCCATTGCCCAACAATGTAGTGCCATCTGCTCAGAATGCGTCTAAGCGACATGCCAATCCATCCAGCATCTGGGGAAGGCTGTGGAACTGCCCCAATGCACCAAGCTCATCCTAAAACACATTACTCATTGATCTCTATGTCATCCCCTCCCAAACACCCGAACCATGATCTTCACTTCTGTGTAGGTCAGTGCATGTTGCCACTTTCTCTGTTGTACCGGTCATTTTGGTCAATGTCTCTGAGTGGGTGGTGCACCGGGCTTCACGTGGGGCGTGCCCTGACAACTTGCAAGTCACACAAAATCTGGTACCTTTTTCCATACGGGTCACCAGCCTGTTTGTCCGCACCCTCAACAGCCGCACTTGTAAACCTGCTTGCCCAGTGCACAACTATCAGGATCTCAGAAGCTCAAAAATAGGAATTGAGGTGCAAGAGTGCATTTTAGGGGTTTGCCACGGCCTGAACAGAGAAGCTGGGCAAGTAACTCATGGACAAGGCAGGCAAGAAACAACAGATTTGTATGCATCGAATCAGCCCGTAAACATGACATCCACATGAAAATAAAGTTAGACCCAATCCAAAAACGAGAAGCTTCCCAACAGCTGAGCGGTCTGAGGAAATACGTTCAACACGCCACCTTAAACTCTAAGTTGCTCAAAATTAGCTTCTAGAGCAGCTGCCGCGCCTGGGTTTGCTGCAACCACCACATCACCAAGTCCCAACGCACACTCGCAAACAACTTGGGCACGGCGAATGACCGACTGACCACCGTCTGTATCATCAGAGGCACTACCGTTGACCCCTCGTGCGACCTTAACGAGACCCTAAAAACAGCAAAGAGTTTGCAAGATTCAGTCCGCCGCGCGGCAACATTGGTCTGAACGCCGAATGCAACGTACTGGGAAGACACAAGCTCCGACCCGATCCACTTCGCCCATCTCATGCTTTCTGCATCTCTTCAACAACTCGATCCTAGTCGGATACAACACACTTCCAAGATCAGGCACGAACGCTCGATAAAATGCATCTGCCCCTCCCGTCGATCCAGCAGAGCTAGTCTTACTCGCATGCAGCGTCCTAGAGAACTCATACCCAGTGTTCAGAATGTTTCGTAATCCTGCGGCAAGCACCGCTGTCTGAGGTGGTGCAGAAGGGGAGAAGATGAGTTCTGTTAGAGTTGGGATTTGCTCGTTGAGGATGTAATCCGACATTTCGGTCGTGAAGGCTTCAACGGCGGCGGAGAAGGTCTGCCGTCTCCAAACGCTGGCCACAGTGGGATCGCCTAATGATGCGAGAGTACAGAAGCACGAATCACATCGGTGGAGAAGTATTAGCACAACTTACGCTGGAAGATATGATCATGAATACGAGACAACTGGATGTTGGCTTCAGGCGAATTAGTGACAATCAAACAATTAATGATGCCCTTTCATGCCAGCACGTCAGTAAAGACCCCCAATCGCTCAAGGGTTGAGGCCTTACCTCAGATATTATTTCGGATAAAGCGTGCCGCAGGATGTTCTGTACCAATGCCGGCGTCGGATTCTCGATCTCATACCCTCCCATATCAGACTGAGAGGCATTATATATGTCTCCTAGACTCCCTGGAGGGTTACGGACGACATCCGCAGCCCATCGGTTAATCAACCGTTCCAACTTGGAAGCTTCGTTCTGTGCAGATCAATTCAGCAATCGGGGAAATGACGATATCGAGTAAAACACGAAAGATGAAATATCAGTGAGGATAAGTGAAGAGGAAAATCACGCACCCTAATCGAGAAATCATCCACACTCGACTTCCCAGCACGCGCATTCATCTTCGTCAGCCCCTGTTCATCTCCGCCTTCCAACACAGCGATCCGTTGTCTAAGCAAAGCAACCTGTCTCTCCTGTTCCTCTAACTGTTGTCTCTGCTTCTCGACTTGCTCGTGCGCAATACGGAAGTTGGTCAACGCGTACCGATATTGATCGGCTGAAACCTTTCCGTTTTTGTCGTTGTTGTTGTTGTTGTCAAATCGATATCGACATGTATGATGATCGGAATCAGTTCATTCCCGTGTATGTTCAAAGAGATGCCAGGTTGGAAAAAGAGAAGCAATAGGGCGACGTGAGGGGCATAAAAACCTATAAGCGCCCGTTGAGGCAAAAACGACAACGAACCATATCATGCCCAGGAGGCGGCCCACTGAGCGGTGTGGACCTGTACATAGAGCTACCCGCCACTCGTTGAGTCGGCGCCGGAGTCTGCTGATGAACTAAACCAGGACCCGGCTGTTGGGACGCATAACCACGAGGCGGACTCGAAGGAGGTTGAGAAGAGTATTGTTGTTGTGGTGGTTGAGGGGGTTGCGGGGGTTGCTGATATGCCATGATTAAATCAGATGCTCAGGACGAACAATATCTCGAATGATGCGAGGTGAGGAAAGCAAGAGTTTGAAAGCAACGATGAAACGAGGAGGTTGTTGCCTGTATTGGCTGAATCGATCGGGCCACTCCCACAATCATATGAGGGCTTGATTTAATATAAATATATCCGCGGGCGATGACCGAGTGTTACAAGGGCAAGGCTGAGCACGCAAAGCCTCTATCTAATATTACGAAGTCATATATAGTGGCTGGAGTCCTGCCTGGCAATGTCTAGCTCGGATAAGCGACGCGAGGACGCCGAGACTAATTTGTGTCAACAACTCAATTGGAAATTACGCCTCGGAGCATACACAAACGATGAACCATTTGAAGTACTCCCACCGATGAGTAAAAAACTCTCAAATAGTGTGTACAACCTTGCCAAAGGACAGTAGATACTATTATAGTAAAGGAATGGAGTATCTAAGGATCAGCGTCGTTGTCCACATGATTAGGATGAATTTTAAATGTTCTGCAGAGGAATGTCTGTGCCGAAGGTTGACATCAAATTGTCATGATGATGGAAGGGTCAAACAAACCAGTAAGTAGCCGCCCATAACTACCCAACCGCTATCCATGGAGACTACACTCGGCTATTGGCGTTACCTGCTCAGTTGCTAGATGGATGGGCACTTTCTCTGCCACTCGTGGTGCACCATCCTCCTCAAAGTGCAATTCACTCGTAACGAATCCCTTCTCCCTCCAATACCTCAACCAACCCAAAGCATCCTCCTTACCAAGATTCCTCAAGTTCTCCCGCCGAAGCGCAGGGCTATCCTTCACAGCTTTAACGTTAGAAAGTACAGGTACGCCCATAGCCTCCCGTGCCTTGGTGACGGGCATACCATCCTTAAAAGGACGGAACATACCGATAAGACGTAGAGCCGGGTTGGCAGTCGCAGCTTGAACTTCGGAGCGCGACGGATCGGCAAGATCCTTCTCAAGAAGTTCAAGCCACTGGGAATAAGGAACGAGGGGCACGCGAAGAGCATTAGGGGAGAAGATCTCAGTCCAAGTTGTAGGGAAAGGATGCGAAAGATGAACTAGACCGCTCGTAGTGTTGCGGAAATCAATGAAAGCCGAAGCAGCAGCGCTCATCGGGAGCCACGATACTCTCTATTAATGTTATTTCGATCCCGACGTCAGACGGACAGGGCCCATGGCGCTCCTCGGCAACGGCGGAAATGAAAGACTCACATCATTAACGGCAGGAAGAGCTTTCACGACTTCACCCGATTTGACAATAGCGGGGATCCACTCCGATGTATTCCACGAGCCATTCTTTCCTCCGCTAAGCTGTCCAACGCGCACGACGACCGGTTTGAGCGGTGTCTTCTGTGCTACACGAGCAAGAATCTGTTCTGCAACCCATTTGGACTCCCCATAACCACCGGCGTTCAATACGGTGCGGGGGTCATTGACGTGTACTTCCGCGGCGGGAGCGTCAGAAGTGAGCGTGCCAAGCACAGAGACGGAGGACGCAAAGAGGATCTTCGGAGGTGTCGGAAGACAGGATGAAAGAGAGAGAGGTCAACGAGGTTTCGAAGACCTTGAAAGAGAGGCTCGAACGAAGAAACGGCAAGATTGAAATCCACACTCCAGGCTGAGAAGGGAACAAGTCAGTAAGACGGGGTTAACATATCAAAATCGGACCACAGCCCACCTGTATGAATAATGGTGGTCGTAGTATGCCGAATAATCTCATACGCATAACTGTCCAACCCAAGATCCCAAGCAGTTGGGTTGATCTCGTAAAGCTCTACCCTGCCCGACCCCAGCACCGCCCTCGGATCTCGATTAAACTCTCCTCCTGCCTCTTTCGAAGCGTCTTCCCCCTTTTCGAATTGACCCGGTTCAACCCATAAACCTTCGCGACCGTCGACATACTCGCCAACTGCGCCAGTATCGCAGTGCCCAACGCACCCGTCGTTCCGGTGACGACGATCACCTCGCTACCCTGACCCGGAGCCGGGTCCGTTGGTTTGTGAATGGGTAGATCCAACGTGTATCGATCAACGAACGTTCGGAGCTCCGCGATCTTGTTCTCGGCAAGGTCAGCCGTTGAAACTGACTCAGGATCGAAAAGCCCATAGAGAACTTCAGCGAGTAAGTTAATCGTAGGTGCTTGATAGATCAAACTGGAAGAAAATAACGAAGTGTCGATGAGCTCCCCTTTAATGTTCTGTGCTTTCGTGTCACGAAGAGCCGTCACGATACAATTCCGCATAAACGTCGCCTGAAGAGAGTCGCTCCCATTCTGAAATATATCTTCGTTGTCCCCAATATTGCTCCCCATTACGCTGGTGATGACATCTCGCACAAATGTATGCATGCTTTCTTTGGTCCATTCGGTCGGAGGCTTGACCCGGGCCTCTGAAGAAGCTCCTTGCTCGACAACTTTGTAAACTGCTTCGATCTCTTCTTCATAATCTTTGATAACGGCGGATTTGCGAATAGACCCCTTTCCGGTGACGGTGAAAGGTTTTTCAGGTTTGGCAAGAATGATCATCTAGAATGGTAACAAATATCACGTAAAAAAAAAATTGATCTTAGAAACTCCGTGAAGCTGTTCATTTCGTACCTCCCTGAATAATCTCGAATGCGATGGTGCGTGTTCATTTGCTAGTTGGACTGAAGGCCTAGAAATATGAAGGGTAACAGTAGATATAGCAATTATTAGGGAAGCTGCAGCTCACCAAATTGCATCTACATATGCAGCCACTTTCTCTTTATCGTTAATATCGAGGGAGAGGTGTGGGGCAGGAGTGATGATAATTCCGTTGTGTGGTTTCCCGCGACCAAACATCACTGGGCCTTGAACAAGCGAGTCTCCGGAGATGACAGCCTCTAGCGGACCAGGATTCGTCTACACGCATCCAAACACAATTTCCAAAGACGTCAGATGGAGGAACGGGACGCGACGAGTTACCTTCTCCCCAGTGCTCAGCATGAGCTGATCATCTGCACGTCCGTAGACGGTGTAGTACCCCTTCTTCGTTGGATGTTCTAACAACAAATCGTTCGTCGAAAGGCCCAGCTCTCCATCGAATTCAGAGTTTATCCTAGAGGGCGTGTGCGTCGCGCCACGCTAAATATCAACAACTCGTCAGCTCTTCGAACAGGGGGACAAGAAAATGTCCACTGACAAGAGCTCTGAACTCTACGGTATCACTGCCCTCTTCCCCTTGTGGGTTTAAGGAAACATGGACGTGCCTCGAGAAACGCCAGTACTCCCATGCTTCAGGATCAACTTTTGCAGGCATGTACGTGTTCACCCCCCCGGTTTCGGTACTAGAACAGGAAACCAAGAAATAATTAGTTCCAGGGACGAAACGCAGAGCTATGACAAACGTGTTGAACAGAGTAGGAAACAATCGCACGTTCCGTAGGAAGGGTAGATGGAGACACCTGAAGCGGCAAGGCTATCTCCTACGACTTTGCTGAGCGGACCACCGGAGTAAGTCTATTGCGTCAACGAGGACGCCAAGGGCAATCGAGAGCTTTAACCTGGCCCGACAGAGATGAAAAATTTATACATACCACAATCCTCGCTCGTTTCAACAACTCAATCCACTCCTTTTTCAGACTCCACACCACCAAAAAGCTCGGAATGGTGAACAAAATGTCCACCGGGGTATTTATGATGCTGTCGATTGCCTTCTCGGGTGAAGGGAAGGAGGGTGTCTGTTCAGGTTTGAACACTAGCAAAATTCCGCCGCACCCAATCATTTGGATGGAGTTCGTCGCGCCGAGAGCGTGAAACATTGGTAGAGTGGCGGCCCCAATGACGTTGGAGCACAGGTCAAATTCACCATAAGATGGGATCCGGACAAATTCGACCATCGAACGGTGGAGGATCGCAATAGGCTTGGGGAAAGCGGTAGAACCTTCAAAAAATCGTAGGATTGAGGATCGAATGCGTCAGCCCGTAGCAGGTCGCGGAGCGAGACATGAATGCATACCTGATGAATGTAACAACATTCCGGTGGTATTAAGCTCGGCACCGGGTGCGGAAATTAAATGCCCTTCCGGTTTCTCTTCGTAAAGCATATCATAAAAAGGCGTGGAAACCGCGGCACACGTAGGCTGCCCGCCTCCCGGAAGGGCCTTTTTGGATGCTGCCCAAAGAGCCTGCATGTTCGGGTCGCCACTCACAAACACATGGGTCGTGCCAGTGTTAGTGAGTAGATGAGCGATTACAGAAGGGGAATTGCGAGGGCTAAGTGCAAAGGGTACATACCCTGCACGCATGATACCGTGGAACAACGTGAAATAAGAGACGGTGTCCGTCACTGCGAGGATAGCAATATTCTTGCTAGCAGTGCCATGCCTAGGGACATTTAGGGCACGAACGATACGCGCCGCTCTTTCGATGGCGATACGGGTTTTAGACCAAGTTACCCAAACTTTGTTGGGGCCATCATCGAAGACGAAGAGAGGGTGGTAAGGGCTGTGTTCAGCATGCCAGTCAATCAATTGGGGTACGGTGAGTGAACCATCCACAGGTGGAGAAGAGAAAGTCTTGGAGTTCCTTCCATGGATTAGTGGCGGAGGAGGCAGGGAGGTGGTGGATAGTGGCATTGCTCCGTCAGAGAATGGTTGACGGGTGTCTCAAATAGCAGAAAGGGAACGGGGCTGTATGAAGGAGGTGGGAGCGGAGAATCAGCGTCCAGGACAATCGTGTTACTTGATTCCTTTCATCCGCTAGAGAGATCAGAAGATTTTAATGAATGATCACTGACGTTGATCCGCCACTGAAAACCGAATGAAGAACTTCTCGAATCGGTACCGTGTCCCCCAACTATGTTCAAAGTGAACATAGTACAGCAATCATCTCTCCCTGTAAGCAAGAGATACGATACGGCTGAAGCGTGATCTGATATATTACTTTAAACCCAAATTGGAGTGTCATGGCTTCAAGCGTTTTGCTCCATGGAGTAATTAACCATCATGCATCACACGAATCAAGTAACGGGAAACGGAAAAAGGGCTCACTTCAGTTTTCCCCTCAGTATGGCCCCGGCGAACAGCCATTTCGCGGTTTCGCGGAGGCTTAAGGGTCCGGCCTGGAGAGGGTAGGCTGAAGCAGCCTCTTGTGGATAGCGCGCTCCACGGTTCGGTTTTGAAACGGTTATTTGAGAATCAGAACCAGAAGTGGTTTGCATTGCAGCGACAACGTCAAACTAGAACCGCTCGGGTCAAATTGGTTCTCCCACTCTCTTAGTTTAGCCTAGCCATGGAACGGTTCGACCAGTGCCAGCTTTGTGCTGCCAGCCAACGTTATATGCTCCTTGTAATAGTGTAACTACGCTATGAAGTGCGTCTATTATACTAGGAAATGCATAATACAATTCAACCAACATTAGTTGATCTCTGCCCCAGTAAACCTAATAAGATCCTTCGGTGGAAGTCGAAGCCGAAGAAGGGCAGGAGGGACCTGAATTAATTGTTCATATTCCAAAATTGGCGGACCGTTCTGGTCATATAAAGCAGCCTTTGATTTGATATACCCGGGCAGGTGCCAAGTAGGATCTTGTTATAATGACTCAGTCTCCAGAGTGAGAACTAGCTGGCTATATTAAAGCAATGACTATGTAAATATGTAAATATGTAAAGCGTAAGTGCCGACGTCATTTTGCCTCCTGGAGGCGAGGAGCTGTGTAATGAGGAGGGCATCCGTCATGAAAGAGAGATAAAATGGCATAACAGTACTGTGTGGCACGTACCTGTGGGATCTCAGTTTTGAGCGTGATATCCTGCATTTATCTCAGCATGCAAAACGCATGGTGGAGCTCTAGCCATGTGTTGTGCCGGGAACTGGGAGGGCCGAACCGAGTTTCTTGATGGGTGACGACCACCACGCCTCTCTATGACTTCCCCATCCGGTGTTTCCATTGAGGATGGTGGCCATGCAAACTGCACATTCCCTCCGAACCTATCAATGATTGACGTGGTTGCAGCACGGACGGGTATGCTGCACGCAATCTGCGAGTTCTCCACCTACGCGAGTTCGAGCCAGCTGAAGCGCCACACAGTTTTCAGATGAAAGTTGAACCACGTGTCACGGGATCACGGTTGAGAGTTGTCCGAGTTCCCGGGGTGATACCCGCTTGCCCTGCAAGAACTATGTACATATAAGATGGCCAAATCCCACTGTCCCTTAACTTCCCCTGGCATAGACTAGAGCGTCTACAGCATGGTATTACACACGAGACTGACCGATATCCTTGGCATTTCTGTGTAAGTGCAACACTAGCCTGTCTTCAAGAACGCGTCGGTTGAGTTTTCAGGTGGTGTTAGGCCCGTTGTTCAAGGAGGCATGCAATGGGTGAGTTTGAAAGTACACTCGTTCAAGTTACAATACCATATCTGATGCATCCTGAAAAGGTTGGGTTACCACAGATGGTCGCTGCGGTGTCCAATGCTGGAGGGCTAGGTCTCCTTACTGCGCGTACGTCGCCGTCACACAAAAGATTCTGTAGAGAGCCCCTTATTTATTTGCGTCCCATTAACTTTATCTGAATTACCGTCGCCTTCGCAATTCGCGCGCTCACCTATCCGAATGACCATCACCCTCGCAAATTCACACCGTCCGTGATCTTAAAATTTTGATACTGACCAGTCACCCAACCAAACTCCGAAGCTCTTCGCGAAGCGATCAAGGAAACGCGTAGACTCACGGATAAACCCTTCGGTGTCAACATCACCATTCTCCCCGCTATCAATCCCCCCGATTACGGTGCATTTGCACGAGCCGCCATTGAAGAAGGTCAGTGAATATTCTCCCCCAATTTCAAAATGTCTTTTTTGGTTTTTACTGCGGTCTTTAGGCGTAAAGATATTTGAAACTGCCGGGAATAATCCAGCACCGATGGTCAAATATCTCAAACAACATGGAGCGATCGTATTGCACAAGTGCACCACCATCCGACACGCCAAGTCCGCCATCAAGATGGGCGTGGACGTTTTGTCCATTGACGGGTTTGAATGTAAGTTCACCAAGAAAATCATATTTTCTGATTGAATCATCATGCGAGGATCCTGTATCTAGGTGCGGGACATCCGGGAGAGGAGGATATTGGAGGAGTTCTATTGGTGAGCCTACCTTTCTCCACAATTGTGAGTCGACAGTTCGTTGACGGGGCCGAATATGAAGCTTGCTCGTGCAGCTCAAGAGTTGGATGTTCCCTATATTGCCTCCGGTGGGTTCGGAGACGGACGGGGTTTAGCAGCGGCTCTTTCCCTAGGCGCAGATGGTAAGCAAATGAGGAGAGTGCCCAATCCTCAACTGACCTTGGCACTCGGGGGAATGACACAGGTATCAACATGGGCACCCGCTTCATGGCAACCGTTGAAGCACCTATTCACCAAAACATCAAAGAAATAATGGTCAAGTCCACCGAACAAGATACAATTCACATTTTCCGCACTCTCAACAACACTTCACGCGTTTATAAGAATAATGTTGCCAAAGAAGTTGTACGGCTGGAACGACGACCTGGTGGAGCCAAATTTGAAGAGCTGAGAGAGCTCGTGAGAGGGGAACGTGGAAGGAGAGTTTACACGGAGGGGGATGTCGATGCGGGAATTTGGGGTGCTAGCGTCACGCTTGGGTTGATAAAGGACATACCTACGTGCAAAGAATTGTTGGACAGGATGGTGAGAGAGGCTGAGGGGGTCATTGACGAGATGAATAGCTTGAGAAAGCCAAAGGCGAAGCTATAACATGGTTTGGCCTAGCTGAGGTTCGCCTGGTCTTATCACATGGTAGTTATTTTTGTTGAAATTTTTTCTTGGTACGCTGTGGACCGACCATCGAGTCCGTCGGACTATGTTTCAACATCTCAAAACTTCAGCACTAGCCTTTGTCAAGCTTGAGATTGAGCTCTTTCTTGATGTGGTCCCCGACCGCAAAGTTGCCCTGGTGAAAGTTTGCAGCGATAACATCAAAGAGCTCTGGCGGTATCAAACGTGCAGCAGAATTTATTGGATGAGGACTAGATACAGTAGATGTCATACATGTGTTTCGATAATTACTGGCTCAGCCAACGAGCTGCCATTGCTCGCAAAAGATGTTTCCCACGATCAAGTGACATGACAAATTGCTGTCGATCAATTTCGATCGCACAATTTGTCATCTCGAGGCCTAGTATCGGTGTCGAACTGGCCGAAAATTTGTTATTATTCATCAAGGCTTTTACGTTAGGTGGACCTGCGGTTCTCTGTGCACTAATGCATGGCAAGTGCGTTGCGCCCGAACCTAGTTAGTAGTGCCAGTGCCGTGCAGGGTCATCAATCAGCTCGTTCTCAATCATAGGATCAATTCTAGCTCATACCCCTGCAGAGCCGTAATCGATTGCGATGGAGTCAAATAAGTCCCTTCCCGGCCCTTCCGTCGGAGCGACATCCAGGTTCGCCTCTCGTCGCTCAGGCTCAACGCCGCTTCAGCGGGACAATCCTTCTGAAATCCCTGGAGGCGATATATACCGTGGCGCACTCCCCCAACTCCCAGAAGCGATGGTACGCGTCCGTTCGCCTAACGCAGCCTCGAGCGGGCATTCGTCCTCTTCATCCGCGTCCACCGGATTAGTGGCAAGAGCAATCGCTGCCGTTGTGGAGCTTGCAATCTCTCGTTGGGCCCGACCATCTGCCTCCACATCTAGCTCATCCTCTACCACTTCTTCTACACTCTCAACCACCCACGCGAAGGCCTCCTAGACGACGTCGTCGTTCCAGCACCGGCGCCTCTACCGTTAACATCGATCCAGAACAGCGCGCATTCGGGGAGGAGTGGTGGTGTAGTGGTAACACCCGCCAACCTACTCTCTCGCTGGCGTTTGCCGATTGAGGGGACGTTGGTTCGACTCACCTGTTGGGAGGTCGCGGTTCTCCAAAGTCTCAAGAGGCACGTGTTTATGCGTCGGGCCAACAAGCCGAGGAGCCGGTCTCATGATCACTTGATCACCAACTTCTCCACTACCGATTACATTGAGTATAGAAAAGGTTCATATCATATGACTAAGTCTTCTATTCACTACCCGAAAGGGGCCTCTCATGGGCACAACCGGCCAGGAGTTAGGAGTTCAATTGGCATGGACCCAGACGTTCTATAGGGAATCACTCGCAGCATAATAGGCTCATGTGATACGGTCTACCACTGTCACAATTCAGAAGAATTTGGATTGTTCAGTCGCGAATCCGGGCATTGGCGAATGATGTTGGTGTTATCCGGGAGCTTAGAATCATGTGGAACTTGAGTATAGAAAAATGTATGATAATATGCCTTGGGCCTCGCCCCTTCCCCTTGGCGCCCTAACGGGCAGCCTCTATGGGAAGTAAAATATCGAGAATTACACACACAGCGCGCATTCGCACGCCAAGTCCTTGAGAACGCTCGATGGATCCCGCGGGAATTCAGCCTGCTTCTACCGACGGCTCCCGGAGTACCGTCTCAAGATATATTGTCCTCAGTTCCCGGTAGCCATCTAGCGCCTCAGCAAGACTCTGCTTCTCAGCTGATTGAAACGACCTCGCTACCCCTTATATTGTCCAGTATCGAGCAGGCTCTCCATGATACTAATAGCCTTCGCCGTGAGCAGCACAAGTCCTTTAGAACGAAATTTTGTCTCCATCGAGCCAAGCCTACACGTGCAAATTCCCTGCCGGCAGCCATTGTGCAGTCTCCTGCCGAATCTTCCCACGGATGTGGAGAAAAGGCATCTGAGGGCGGAGCTACGTCGCCACTAGTCGGCTCACGAAGCTCAGTGCCCCCAGTAACCGTGGCCCTAACTAAGTCAATGTCGCCTGCGTCAACGGATCCAGTGCCCACGGTGAAGAGCGAAGGACGTCACGCTGAGAAGCCCTCGTCGAAACGTCACCATTCTAGGCCCCTTATTTGTGCGGGTATCGGGATGGATAACTTTTTGAACCCGAATCGAGGCATTCGAAAACCTGCCACAGGGAATCGCTCCAGCAGCACTCCACATCTACAACCAGAAGTCGACTCAATTAATTCAGGGCAGCAAGCATGGTGGCTCGATGTGGCATCTCCTACTTGGGAAGATATGCGTATGCTTGGCACAGTACGTTAATGTAGGGAATGGATGTGTGGTGATGCGTGCTGTGCACACTTTCTTTATTCATTGTTTATTACTCTTTATTTCTCGATGTAAACAATGTATATAAATTGCGGGGAAGGGTGAAACAGGTTTTCACTCTTCTCCTCCCCTGTTGAAATTACAGCTCTATACTGCCTAATTCCTGACAGCTTGAGGATAGTAGGAGTCAACACCAAGGTCGGAACCTCAACCGACCTTACACTTTTTTAGGCATAATAGGCTTAAATTCCCACGTTTACATCACCCGCGCGCGCTCCGAGTACGCGCGCTTATACTTCTTTTGGTATATTCTCGCGCACAACTCGCGCGCCTCTCTCCAGACTTCTTTGGAACCTTTCCCATGTGCAATCCACACGTGCGCGACTCTCAGACGCGCACCTGTGTTGATTTGGCCGTTCTAGAAAACGCGCGCTTGCATCGACTTCGCTTACTTCTTTTGTGTCCACAGCTCCCTAGGCTCACACTCAGGATTTCTGGGTCTTCCTCGCACGCTTCCCACGTCCACACACGCTTTCTGGCAACACACGCTGAAACATTCACGCCAGCACACTCCTCGCGCGTTATTCACGTGTTGGCGGCATTCCAGACGCTCACTTGCGTTCCTTACACGCGTTTTTCGATCCCGCATTCTCACACGCGTGTGCGCGACTTATACTCGCCATGTATTGGCTTGATGGACGCGATCTCGATTCGAATGGAATTCTGCTGCGAGACTTGGCTCAGTACTGGGACAAACCCAGACGCAGAGAAGTGGAGAATAAGACTATAAGTGAAATAGACGTGCTCGCCAGCGGTCTCAAATCCGCGGTTGCTGCAGATGATCACCAGCGATGGTTGATCTCTGCCAGCGAGTATGTTGATGCCATTATTTGGTTTGCGCGGCGACAAGCTCTGTGGAGTTACGAGGATAAGGGTGTTGGCTTTGGGTCATGTCATGAGACGTTCGAGTGGCTGGATTCCATTCATGCCAAGTGGGTTGCGACTCTGATGCCGCACTTGTATGCGCTTGCTCGCGAAAGGTACATCAAATCCCTACCCACAGAATCCCTAGGTCCCTCGACACTCTCCATGTCCCAACAACCTCTATCCCCCTGCCCACTTGGGTTTTTCACCAAACCCACATCCAATGTCGCGTCAACGTCCAATCCCGGACATGTTAACTTGGAGACGCCTTCGGCACATCAACATCCAGTTGATTGTGCGGCCTCCAACAATGATTCGAGCCGCACTGCTGCGTGCGCTGATGCTGTTGCATCGCCGGCTGCGACTCAACATCCACATCAACCTCCGCCTCCTCCCAAGTCGATGCACCCGTCATCAACACCGTCCAACGTGTCGGCGCCGGCATCGACTGATGCGCCACTGTCGTCCAGCGCGTCCACACCATCCTCTGATGTGTCAGCAACATCGAAACGTCGTCGTCGTCGAGGCCGGAAGAAGCGCCGATCCGAGCGTCATTCTGCTCCCATCACTCCCGTGCCATCCATTTCCTCTTCCGTCCATTCTCCAATCCCCTTTCCCCCCACTTATTTTAAATGGAAATCACCAAAAAATTTTACATTTCCGTTTCTTACATATGCTGCTGTTGTTGGTGGCAAAACAATGCAGCCATGTATTCCATTCCCAATTCTCGCCACCCCCGATACACATCCTCAAAGGCCATTTAAGGATGTCCGTCGACACCGAACTAAGGATCCGCCTTAGTTTAAGTCCACCCATCATTCCTTCTCGATTTTCGAACACCCAATGGTTGTTCTAGTGGGGGAGGATGTAGGGAATGGATGTGTGGTGATGCGTGCTGTGCACGCTTTCTTTATTCATTGTTTATTACTCTTTATTTCTCGATGTAAACAATGTATATAAATTGCGGGGAAGGGTGAAACAGGTTTTCACTCTTCTCCTCCCCTGTCGAAATTACAGCTCTATACTGCCTAATTCCTGACAGCTTGAGGATAGTAGGAGTCAACACCAAGGTCGGAACCTCAACCGACCTTACAGTTAACTTACGTGAGGAACTCTGACCTTCGTAACGACCTCCCATTCGGCAGCTGCTTCATCTGCACCCACTTACATTAGAAGATATTTTGCAGCAAGACCCACAGGAAAAAGTAGAGTTTTTCCCTCGCTTGGGTTATTATTTCGTTGTTATTCGTTGCCTAGATTTAAATAAGTATCTGGCTGAGAGGGATCGTGAACCATTAGGCAATGGTGGTCAACCTCAATACGAGGATATTCCTAATGTGACAAATGCTTATATCACCGTCTTTAGAGAAGGGATTTGTTCGGTGAGTAGACCAAGTCATATGCACCGACATCCTCACCGATGAATATCTCGCCAGTTCCATTTTTCGGATTTATCGGAACATGTCAATAGAGTTAGAAATAAAATATTACACATGGATGCCACAATCATGACATCAGGTGCATCTGCCGGTTACATTTGATTGAGTATTACTGAGATGCAACCAATTCTGTAGACCTTATCGCCCATGGCTTGATGGATTCCATTGTTGATGCTTTCATTCCTGTCATCAAGCGCATGGGCTCTGAGGTGGAAAATGTCGATAGGCTTGTCGCCAGAGTGCAAGATGAGGATCAAGTGCTTTGTGACTGGAAAACTGCACTTCAACATGCCGAGGTTACACAACAAGTTGCAACTCCGCCTCGTGAGGCTGAGCCCGAAGCGATTGAGGTCTTTGATCTTAACGAGAAAAGGAAGGAGTCACTTTCAACACCACCCACTTCTCAACCTCCTCATCCCGCTTGGGATCGTGCATGGCGGCGTTTATCCTCAATAATGCAATATCTGTTTCGCCATGTCAGCCGTAACCTCACCTCTTTTGGGACCGCTTGTGTGCACAGGATCAAGAAACTTTGGCAGAGGCTTGTCTCTGCACACATGACAAAGGGGCGTGCTGTCAAGTTGGCGAGAACAAAGACCCTCACAAGGATGTCTCAGACTAGGCGGACCGTGACGTTCCTCATAAAGCTCCTTGCCCCGAAGATCGAGGCACTTGGGATACTGAGGAAAAGGCTCAAGGCTGTCGCAGAATTAGGAGCGCACTTAGATGACGTCCAAGGTGAGCTTACTGACTGATGAGTCAAACGTTGGTGCATTGGACCACTGATATGCAGACCATCTTTTGACAATGCAACAGTCTTTGGTGTATTACGAAAGAGTATTGACCCACTCTCAGCCAACGTACCTCTTGGGACTTCGAGTGAGCCTCGCTCAGGCTACGAATCGAGCAGATGCGACACTCTGGAAGCTTAGTGTTCTCCTGACAGCGGATTACGGCATGCAGGTAGTCATTGGTACATTTCCCTCCTGATTTTTGCCTATATGAGTGATTGAACCACTGTTTAAACTAGGTATCCTCAGCATGAATGTTCATTCACCCCACAATCATCGTCCTAAAGATGTCCCGTTGGGTGCACCAGTTGGACATTTCTATTTATTTGGGGTTGTGCTCAGTCTAAATGTTCTGGTGGCAATTGGGGTGTTGTGTGCCACTTGGTGGTGGTGGAAGCAAGTGAAGCGCAAGAGGGAATGAAGGCTGCTGTAGTTTGTTACTTGTCAGCGGTGTCCATGATTTCCCACAACATATCTCGTTACTCTCCTGTCACTTCAGTTTCAATGGGGTGTATTTGTGGGCTCTCCAGGTCCAAGATCATCCAAAGCAATGAAGAGGGCTGGAGGTTACAGTGTTATGGATATGGAGTCTCCAATGACCATATCCGTCGCATAGTCAAAGACTTCTCCTCTCTATCACTCCCCCCTCTTTCTCCCTTTCGTCCTCTATCCTGATACCCTACCCTCCTTACTCGTTCTACCCCTTCCCCCCCCCCTCGTGCAAAGCTTTCCCCATTGGGGTTTTGGTGCTGGCTGAGGTTACTTGTGTTTCGCGGGATTTCCTGCGACCTTACCATTTGTAGATAGTCACACGTCTTGTATGGAAACCGCCAAAGGCGGTTCCCACTAACTAACAACTACTCTCTACAACTGTCTTGTGTGTCTGTCAGGGACAGCTCCGAAAGCGGCGAGGTCCCGGCGTGAGGGACTCAATGGGACAGATGTCGGCTATGTGTAGCGGCGGTCCCGTTGCGGGGTGAGCATCCCTGACCACTTAGTCTGAAGTGGGAAGTTGAATTATCATTAAAAGGGGAAGCTACAGTACTTACCTGAAGTGGGAAGTTGAGAAGGAGGCTGCTTCTTCTGTTCCCACCCCAGGTGCTATTATATACATGTGGTTGGGGTCACGTGGGAGGAGCCACGTCATCCCTGCACACAGCTGCACTCCCCTGGGTATCTCTGTGGGAGATCCCGGAGGTGTGCCGCTCTGTGAGCGGGAATGCACGCAGCGGGCATGGCGATCGGGGGAGCGGGGTTAAGTGTGTAGTAATACGTAGAGAAGGGGAAGTTGACCATGGAACGGAAATAGAAAGAAAGAAGGAAAGGGGGAAGAAGAAACAGGGAGTGATAGCGGGGGAGCAGAGTAGGGCGGCGTGGCGTGGGGTCAGGTGGGGTGTGCCCTGACAGTGTCATCTTCTGTAACAACCCATCCTGTGACTCAACTGAACCATGTGACTGTACAACTCACAACATGTCTTATAAGTCTGGTTATGTCGAGTCCTCTAACGGTCCTCGCCATGAGAACTCGAGGTTGCGAGTCGAAGACTCTCGACCTGTGTATCATCCTACAGAATCTGTACCCTATGGGACTTCATCACTCCGCTCTCCCCCCAGTGCTTGACAGACGACATCATATCACAATCTTGGAGATCGTGAATACTCTGAGGTCCACTTTCCCGTGATGCCGGCACGTTTGCTATGCGAACGCCAAGTAGCTGCTCGTCCACTGTCTGTTCCCTCCTTCGTCAGTCATCATAATCCCCCACCAACGGTATGTTCCCTTTGGGAACACCAAGTCACTGAAGGCCCTGTTAGTCAATCCTCATTGCATGCTCATGATATCAACCCGCTACTGGTACATTCGCGCTGCGAACGCCAAGTACCCGATGGCAGTTATACGAAGTTCTCACCCAGCTCATGAGTTGTGACCTCGCACACAGTACGCTCCATTGAGGAGCGCCAAGTACCCATGGCTGACCCGCCTGTCATGACGTCTCCGACTACCTACCATCAATTCCTTAACAGCTCACTACATCACCAATCACAATCGATGGGAATTCGATCATCCACTCCCTTGCAAGACTGGGATCACTCATCGATTACATATCCCGTTATGGTACAGACTAGATACGATGTTCATCATCCCGCTATCAGAATGGATTGAGGAATGGGGATGGGGGGAAATCCCCATAACATACAGGGTCCCTTTGATGAATAGTGGTTTGGGGGATGGTACCAGAACATGAAAGACTTCAAGAATGTATATATGTCAGGGGCAGCTCCGAAAGCGGCGAAGTCCCGGTGTGGGGGACTTGATGGGATGAGTAGCAGCTATGTGTAGCAGTGGTCCTGTCATGGGGTGAGCATCCCTGACCACTTTGTCTGAAGTGGGAAAGTGAGAAGAAGGCTGCTTCTTCTGTTCCCACCCCAGGTGCTGTTATATACATGCGGCTGAGGTCATCTCCACACACAGCCACACCCCTCCAGGTGTCTCTGTGGGAGATCCTGGGGGTGGCTGCTGTGTGGGTGGGAATCTGTGTGGTGGGTGTGGCAATAGGGGCAGTGGCATTAGGGTGTAGTGGTACAGGAGGGGTGTGTGGCATTCCCGGGTATGTGGGCATGCTGGTGGTACATAGAGAAAGAGGAAAAAGGAAAGGAGAGGGGGAGGGTGAGATAGGAGGAGCAGGGAGTGATGGCAGGGGAAGCGGAGTAGGGTGGTTGTCAGGGCACACCCACCTGACCCTGCGCTGCACCCCACGCCATACTGCCCTACTCTGCTCCCCCTGCTATCACTCCCCATCCCTCCTTTCCCCCTTTTCCTTTTTCTTTCTATTTCTATTCCACGGTCAATTTCCCTTTTCTCCATGTACCACTACACACCTAACCCCGCTCCCCTGATCGCCGCATGCACTGCGCGCATTCCCACCTACTGGGCGGCCACCTCCAGGATCTCCTGTGGAGACACCTGGGGAGGTGTGGCTGTGTGCAGAGATGACGTGGCTCCCTCCACATGACCCTAACCGCATGTATATAATAGCACCTGGGGTGGGAACAGAAGAAGCAGCCTTCTTCTCAACTTCCCACTTCAGACTAAGTGGTCAGGGATGCTCACCCCATGACAGGACCACCGCTATGCATAGCCAACACCTGTCCCATCTGTTAGAACGTGGGGATTCGGACGACTCCGGAATGGAATCGGAGACTTATCATGGAAGGACCTTGGCCTCAGCGACTCATGCGGAGCGCTGTGCCATTGCTGGTTGTCCTAGGGGTCCCTAATTTCGGATCTAGCAGAGGGAAAGTCTCTTGGGGGAATTCAAGTTGATTTCGGACTGAGGTTACAAGTTACTAGGTACATTGTATATAAGGAGGGGTCCGGAATCAAAAGGGACAAGGGTAGGACAAAAGGAGACAAAGGGAGATGGAAAGAGGAGCAACACCGAGGGTCAAGTGTTTGACTCAATGGTGTTTCCCAAAGGAGGAATGAAGGGCCAAGGCCCAAGAAGGAAGGAAGGAGGATGGGAGTCGGGAATGGCTAGCTGACTGAATAGAAAGGAAGCAGCAGCCCAAATAGGAATGAGGGAGAATAGCGGAATTGAAATGGACAATGCAATAGTTGCAAGGTCCGGAGTAAGTCCGGAAAGTCCGAACTCGGAGGTTAAACTCCGGAATATTGGCAAAGGTAATTAAATGGAATGAGCTAACCAATACAATGGGTATAAGCGGAGGTGGGGTCAAAGTCCGAGGTCGGAGCTAAGACCGGAGGTTCCGGAGACAGAGACGCCAACGGGATTCCGGAGCGGAGGTCCGGAGTTGGGGACATAGGTGTTGTGTACTCGTCTGGAAGGTGTCGAGGTTGGGGTCGGACCCGGAATGTTCCGGAGTCGGACCGAAGGTGGTGTCCGAGCCGGAGGTGGGATAACCTTTTGGGAGTCGGCAAGGAGAAGGTGATGGAAGGGAAGTAGGGCTCCGGAAGTCAGGTTCGGAGTTCCGGGAGCCCGGAGCGGAGGTCGGGATTGTATGGATATGACACCATCGAGTCCCTCATGCTGGGACCTTGCCGCTTTCGGAGCTGTCCCTGCCAGCGGTGTGGCACAGGGTACAGTGTGGGATCAGGTGGGGTATGCCCTCACAATATAGCTTCATTAACTGCACAGCAGTGTCACTCTCCACCTCCTGTAATTACATTTTTTGTGCCACTTTTGCTTGCATGTTTGTATTTCTTTTCTGAGTTGCATGACCTCATGTTGATTACATGTTTATAACTGGTAGATGTGTCACAGCCATGCATTCTGGCTCGTTAGCTGCCCATCCCGCTGTGCAAGCGTGAGCGCGAGCCCCAACCCTCATCCCTATTCTCCTTGAGGACCCCCTGCTTGCCCCCTGCTTGCCCCTAGGCTCCCCTACACTTGGCCGACTCCCCCACTGCCACACCAACCTCCCCACCCTGAGTCTGCCTCTGGCACTGTGCCCAGCGTGACTCCTCTACCCTGCCTGCTTGGCCCCTACAGGGCTGCTACCATTCCTGTGCCTGACTCCGGCCCAACTCCGAGTCCAGCACCAATGCCATTGCCATCACCGCTATTGTGGCCCTATGCTCCTTCCTTTATTTATTTGTTATTGTTTGTTGTGACCCTCAGTCATTGCCAGCCACTGTGCGGCCAACCCCACTCCTTGTTCTCTTTGCTTCCGGACCCTTCGGCCTTCAGCCCGGGTCCGCATCCATTCATTCTTTCCTCCTATATATATCCTGTATGATTGTCAGGGCATACCTGTCAGGGCAATAGCCCCGAACCCTGAGCCATATGTAATTACAAGATACATATAGTCACGTGGGTAAGCGGTGTAGGAGAAATAACGGTCACACTATGGAAACCCATTATGGAAATATGCCAGATAAATCACAAAACCCCATATGACAAGTATATATGAGGTAATAGAAGAACCTGAATTTTTACGAAATTTTACGAATTATTATGACTACATACAATAAAATGGAAGAAAGAAAATTAGCAAAAATACTTCAAGCTTAGCATCAATGAGACGGAATTCTCGGGGGAATTTATAGCAAATATTAAACCTAGAATTAGGACAATCGACCAAGATTTGACTATAAAAACAGCCAGAGAACCTCCACGGAAACTACTTTCCCACGTCTGCACACATAGCCAAGGATGGAAGTACTGCGGAACAAGGATTCCTCAGGAACTAATGCAAAATTCAAAGTCGTGTTTATAATAGGAAATGTAGATGTCTCCCAAACGGACCCAATGAAAGTAATTACAGGGAAAACTACCCATAAACGACGGAGATATGTGTCAGGGACCGACCTGGGGTCGAGAGCGCCCGGGTGTATCACCCGAGGCTGAGGGTCCGGTAGGTATGACGCGGGCGTGCGTAACAATGGGCCCGAAGCAGACA